CCCCCTTGATGCCAGCTGTCTGCACAACCTGCTGCCCTAGCCTGCCTGCCCACTGCTAACAGGAACCTCGGGCCCAGCTCTCCTCCCATAGCAGCAGTGCACTCCTGCTGAGGGGACGCTGGCCCTGAGGTTGCTCTGCCTCTGGAGCTCTGCACAGACCACTGCTGCTGTGGACTGCCATGCCCAGAGACCCTGACAACAGGACATGGGGGAACACCAACCCACACCTTACACTAGTTCCCCGCTCTGGGTTATTTCAGAAGTCGCTGCCTGAGGCATCCTCTATAGGAAAACATTCCTTTGCTCCCTGTCTGACCTGGAGCGTTCGCAGGTGCGCTGATGAGCTGGGCCGCCCCGGAGGCGCACAGCGCGGTCAGACCGCGGGCCCTGCGCCGCCCCTCTGCGCCGCCTCTGGCGTGCAGCTGCTGCCATCTTGTGACCATAGGGCTGCTCGCCGCCGGCGGCCTGCCCGCCAGCTTCTTCTTAATGGAGCTCTTAAACCTGGAGTACGCAGTCCTTTCTGAGCTTGGGACCTGCACAAGTGAAAGGAGACAAAACGCCACAATTAGCCATGACTTAATATCACTCTGCCGTTTCAGGTTTTCCTCTGCTGCCTCAGAGGCGCGGGCCATGGAAATGGATGTTGTGCCGAGGGTGGCTGCCGCAGTTCGTCACCTAGGTGGAGAAAGAGGGGAGGGAATAAAAAATTATTTCTGGTCAGAAAAGTACCTCTGAACCAACTGTCACACAGAAAGCCTGTGGCAGAGAAAAAAAAACACTAAATTTGCGTTAGTCGTGCACTAGGCTACAGCACTAGCTTGAAAGGCCCACGGCTCCTGCAGCCATTTCGTGTCGGATCCTGGGCCTGGTCTTTTCCTGAGAGATGGGCATTTGGGCAAACCCACATGTTGGCTGTCTGGAACCAGACTGGTTTTCTGATCTTCACCCGAAGGAGGACTTAGATCTCTTCTGATTTCTGAATCCGCTCGCCACCACTGTGGCTTGCTCATGTAATTATGTGGTATGTTATCTTACACTTTTAATATATTAAGGCATACTAAATAAAGATTAAATGACAGATTTACAGTTCTTACTTTCAGATTCATTCATAGAGCAATTTGCATAAGCAAAACATAAAACATAAGAATGTATCAAAATTTGAAATCATAGAATTGCTGAGGTTGGAAGGGACCTTTAAGATCATCAAGTCCAACCATTAACCTAACCTGATAAAACCACTTCTAAACCATGTCCCCAAGTACCACGTCTACCCTTTTTTTAAACACATCCAGGGATGGCAAATCCACCAACTCCCTGGGCAGCCTATTCCAATGCTTAACATCCCTTTCAGTGAAAAAATTTTTCCTAATATTCAATCTAAACCTCGCTTGGCACAACTTGAGGCCATTTCCTCTCGTCCTATCACTTGTCACCAGGGAGAAGAGGTCAGCCCCCACCTCTCTATGACCTCCTTTCAGGTAGTTGTAGAGAGCGAT